CTGAAACAACGCGACTCGTTCGTGTGACTAAAAATCCAACCAACGGTGGTTGGGCTGCCGTGAACTCATGCCCGGTGTATGTTAGAGAACTACCAGTGATGGTCGCGGTAACGCTACTCGTAGTGCTACCATTACTGCTGCCTCGAATATGCTGACTCTTTCGACCTGGTAGACTACTGGCCTACGAAGGGTAAACCGACAATGGAGAGATGAGTGCATTAGGCGTGTGCACGTCAACTTGTTTAGATAGTTTTCATTTGTATAAACGAACGATCTGGGCGTCGGATAACACATGCCCATTCTTGTCAAGCATTCAAGTCAATGTGCTCTTACTAGTTGTTTGATTTCGTGTTTAAATTTTAATTTCGTCTTTATTCATTATTCTACATAAAAATCAACAATAACTGGCTTTATCTTTGAACGTTTGCACAATATATCCTATATTTTCTCCTAATGTACTTTCATAACAACTGTATGATTTCCTGATGAAGAGCATATCATCAGACAATGTATCTAATTATCGGTTTTGAGATATGAGAAGTTCGCGTTAATCTTAGTCAACTGCTTGGTTATTCAGAATAGGACGGTTGTGATTAAAATACCTCCACCCTGGTACTCCGGCATAGGGCTTATAGTGGCTATCGTGTGTGCGAACGAAGTCACGAGTGGCTCAATGTGGTTTATTTTTGGATGTTGTACCATGCAAATCGCGACATTGACAAACAGGTTGCTCCAGTGAAAGACAGCTGAACCACCCGGGAGTGTGCATCATTGTCCAAAGATTCAAGGTCCGATTGATTCAATCTGTACAAGAAAATTCAAAGCAACACTTGAATTGGTTTATACAATAAAAGTGAATCTAGTAGAAATTGCAGACCTACACATTGTTATTGGTAGAATAATCAGTGACAACCACACAAAAATATTTACTGGCAATGACTTTTATCATCCAGCAAAGTGGCATGCTATCTGTATATTTAGTTCAGAGAATTGGCAAGTCAACTGTGTTTTATATTCCAGTTCGGGCAAGTGGACCAATTTCACATTTTCGTTGAAAACAGATTGAACTCTGGTAAGCTGTACAAGCATCATCAGGCCTTGCAACAAATTATTATAGACCATTTTATAAAAGGAGTCTAATCATTGTGTTTCTGACAGGATGGTCCATTTGTTTCCTCCCATCACGTAGAATAACACAGTGTGGTCAATATAACCAAAGCTGAAAACTTAGAAGTCAAACTTTATTTTACTTCCAATTAGTAGTAAATGAACAATGGGCAACCCACTGCAACTGCTTAAGGTAAACCTCCTTACTAGATGTTCCCCTCATGATACGTCAGATTAAGCGTAACCAAGAAGCTGTAAACATTAGTGTATCCAGTTAGAGTTTGGATACCTGAACAGTGGAGAACAATGCCACCTAACTTACGCCACTCTTACTGCAATACAATATTCCTTCAATTATCCATCAACAAATCCGCCCGACCGTTTAGTTTACTGCAAAGCCAATACTGATAACGAGCCATGTTCCCGATTCCAGTTACATCCTTTGTCAAGGTATCATCGTAAGTAGGCATTTTAATTTTCCGAGGTCTAGCTAGTTCACAATTCAACAACCATACTTGTGCAGGCAGAAAATGTTGGCAGTGCTGTCGAAAATATAAAGGCTTTTAGTCCCTTCCTGCTATCACAATAAACTGTCATGTAGTGTTCAGTATTTTGTATAACTTGTCTTGAGTTTTCAGCTGTAACAGTCCAGGAGCGTCATCTTGGGATCCATAACCTCCTTGTATATTATTCTTATATGGTTTAAATACATGAACAGAGAGTTCATCACTTTTCCCTCATGTAGCTTTGGCCCTTGGAACGAAAAGTTTTTATTAACCGGCGGGTTGCTCTTTCCAACAATTGTGACCGATGGTTTATGAAATAAACAATTGAACAGCCTGGAGGTGGATCAAGGTCACACAGCATAGTCAGAAATCGCAAGCGACGGATCTCCCTGAGCCATTGCACGTTCGAAATAATTAGGTTGCACCAGCATCAGATACGTGCGTGATTTGAAAGCACGCCCCGTGAGTGCATTATATAATCCCAACCCATCAAGAACACCCACTGGACGAAGGAATAACGGATAAAAAAGTTGCTAGAAGTCACGTGATGTGTTCCCTTCAGATGCCATATTTCCTTTTTTATTAGTCGACAAGCTAACAACCACTTGCCATGCACCAGAAACGGCTGAGACGTTATTACAAACACATAATCATAGTGACCACCCAAGGGACGTCTTATCAGCATCACGTACGCTGAATAATCGAGCGCACAACCCTACGGTAGTTTAATCACTCATCTTCTAATCTACACATTGGCTGACAGATGAGATCATATAAAAGAAAAGACGTAAAGTTTGGCAATTATGTAGATACAAATAAACCACTAATTAATGAAAGCTGCTATGACAGTCGATACATACAATTGTCACTCTTGGTAATCATTGGGTTCTAACACCAAAAGTGGTACTCACCAGTCACTAACAAGACAGTCTTGACATTAATGGGCACGTCGATGCCAGATCACTCATTAGATTTCTTTGACCGTCAGTTCTTGCTGAACAGCCCCCGGTGTAAAAGAAATTCTGACAACATACGGGGTAATCATCGTATTAATTGTATACTGTGCATTCCGTTATGAATATCATTTATACCTTTTTAAGTACATCCGTATGAAGGGAACTTACAATAAATTTGTTAAAACAAAAGGATTCCTTGATAGACGTTATGTGCGTCTAGATTTTAAATTCATATGTATACGATTAGCAGTCGTTAATTTTCAGCAAGCTTTCTTAAATTTTGTATCAGACGAGCGAATTATGAAGCAAACACTTTCATTCCCAGACGTTTCATAACGCTGAGTGCCCCGCTAGATTAGACTATCATACTGTCACTCAAAATATATTTAAATAATAGCATTTATGAAACATTTCACCTGCTTTGGGATGATTGATTTTTCCACCGGTAAAAATATATGTCTAGAATGCTACTATTGTCACCTGATCACTGGGGATTTATTTTAAGGGATGGCAAACCAAGAAGGAAGGCTGACAGAATATTTCCGTGTAAACAAATGGGTTAAACTAAAAAAAACCAGCGTATGTAAATTTGCTTAGTGACTTCATTCATTTAAATCCTGAAACGTGACGCCTTGAAGAAAATGTAAAATATTTCCGGCCTCTTCTAACTTAGGAAAATCTGGACACTGGTGGTTGACCGTTTTAGTCGATTTGTCAGCAGAAAAATTGCAGACATTTAGCTTTCGAAAGCTGAATTTCGCACATATTTGTTCACAACTTCTGCATTCTTACATAATTTTTTTGGATGAAAGCAATGTACTGACTTCGTACTACATTTAGATTTCAAAAAACCGTATCTCTACTTTTGGAGCGGATTGTGTCCTTCAAAAAAGGACTGCTACCCACTAACCTGTTATCCCCTTATTTGATATGACCAATTGATCATAAGTAAACAGTCTGCTTCAACCGCTTATGAGTAGCAGTCATGCAGTCCTACCGTCTAGTTATCCAACATTGGAGATTTTCAGTTAACTTATTTCAAAGAATTAGTTTAATTGTTTGGTTTAATTGATTTGATTACTGTGATCTCCCGCAGTTTAATTTACTGAATTGTGATTTTGGGTACTGATTTGGAATTCGGTATGTTGAAGTGTAAAACGTGATCAAATCTGTTTAGAATTTTCATTTTGAGTTAAATTCTTGATAAATTGGTTATTGGCTTGCTCATACTCTGCAAGTGATGTGCCATGAAATCCCTCCAACCATGAAACGTTAATCGAATGAAAGGGCTTGGTAACACGATGACTGAAATTTTAACGGATAGAAAGAGCACCAGCATTGGTTAAAACATAGTCACTTACGTATAGGACGTGAACAAGTGACCCGAGAAGGAGCCAACTATACGATTGCACGTTGTGTCACCGTCTGATTAGCATATCAGTCGCATCCAAAGCCTAACTAATTGATTGTTCCACAAAACCTTCATGGCGAACCGTTGCAAACTACGATTCTTTCCATCATCAGTGTTTCGTCCACAAAGGTTAACAATGCTAAAAATATTAACTTCCCGAAGAATGGAATCCGGTATTTCTTATTAGTCGTTCCACTTCACAGCGTAGCATCCGAATACACCCATTTCACGACAAGTTCAAGCAAACAAAACCTGATCATTTCTGCGATGAAATAACTGCACCAAAACTGTGTTTTGTACCAATTTCGCAAATGCCAACAGATCGATATTTTATTCGTCAACTGGACATAGGTATCAGCTGACTTAAGTCAGTCGTACTCGTTGCATTACTGCACCATGGTGAGCGGTTTTTTGTCTGTCCAACGGGTGAGCCATTAGCATTGGATTGTACTCGTCTGTGTTTCCCGAGTTGCCTTTAGAACTAGCCTGAACTAACATGGAATAAATAATCTGGTTTCGCTCTACATCGGAAAATGAAGGTTCGTATCCGTTACTTTTACATAAAAAAACTAAGTTGCAAAAATTCTTTACTGATAACACTGAAGGTGCGTGCAAATCACGGGCGAAACTTCTGCACGTGGCTTTGAAAATCAACAGTTTCGAGATACCGAATATCTAGAAATAGTTAACAAGCTTATGGAGAATAGCAACTGTGTTAGTATCTTGGCCTTTGTACTCAAACCTATATGCTCAAAATGATGGTGTCACCTTGTCTGATAATTAAACGTGTGCCATCTAAATGCCAAGCTCGCTGAGCAAATGAATATGTGCATAGGTTCGATCTCTGGGACGTGTCAATTTATATGGTTTAGTAAAAGTTACTTACACAAAAAGCTTGACCACCCACAACAATTAATAAATTTCAAGTTGATCGCAATTGTCACATTCCCACAGACTTTCGAAAAGAAGCACTAGACTCGAGTTTCGCTCTCATTAGAGCTCGTCACTAGTACATATCATCGCCACTGCCGGGACTAGAACCAGGGACAAGCTGTTCAGGAGGCAACCGCGTTAACCACTCCGCCAATGACCTCACGTTAGACACGACCGAATTATCTTATGTGAACACTCAAACACTTTCGCATGCGAGTAATGATCAGATTGCCCGATCGCCTCGAGTGGAGACACAGTTACTGTCTGTTAACTCCGGCCGATAACCCTACGATTAGGACTTTCTAGTTAAAAGACAGTAACTGTGTCTCCTATCGATATGATCAGGCAACCTGATCATTACTCACAAGCGAAAGTGGTTGAGTGTTCACATATGATTATTCGGTCATGCCTAATGTGAGGTCAATGGCGCAGTGGTAAACACGGTTGCCTGATGAACAGCGTGGTCGTGGTTCTAGCCCCGGCAGTGACGAGGATATGCACTATTGACGGGCTCTAATCAGAGCGAAACTCGAGTCTAGTGCTTCGTTTCGAAATGGACCGACTGGAAAGTCTATGGGAATGCGACAGCTGCGATCAATTGTGGGTGATGTTTAACTTGAAACTAACCAAATCCCCGACTACTCATCAAAATAAAAAGTTATCCATTTATCAAAATTTGCAACTAATGAATCAAAACAAATCTTGAAATAGTTCCAGCATACTAAGTGCAATTTAGTTGCGAGTCAGCGTGAACTCAGATCAATGAGTTTTTGAACAACCTAATTTTTCAAGTTATCTTATTAATATTAAGATCTTTATTCATTCTAATCAACCGACCATGCGGCCTTCTACGGATTAAGGCCTAGGAGTCACGGAGAGACCGATATGAATACTTTGGTAGCTGCGGTCAACCGGAATGTCTTGGTCATATTCTTCGATCGCGCTAAATCGCACATGATATGGATTGTGTTCAGCACAACCGCGTGGCTGCAAAAAGGTTGACAGCATTATGCTGTCTACAAAGGTCTGTTAGTACCAAAGCCAAATTCATTCATCGCGTGTGACGCTGTCTTGATTTGTGACGACAAAGCTGCCATGTAAGACATCAATATATTGAATTACTTACGAAGCCAGGCAGTTTGGGCTGACAGGAATAGAAAACGTATGAATGACTTCCATAATAATGCCACTAACTCAATCCTCCATACGTTGGGCCGTCGAATAGAATTAATCCCTAATACGCATGTAGTCATACATACAGTGGATAATTCTGACTTTCTCAACTTCTGTCATTCTTTGACTGTGATTACCAAGTTACTCATTTCCTGATATTTATCCAGTGAGTATTCTAGGCTGCCCAAAAGTTTATGACACCTTCATGCGGGAGGCTCGGCATTGACTGTTACACTAATACGAATTGGTATTTTATTGTCCGACTGCATAAGTGTTGATTTTGTTATCACTCCGGTGTCCTAGTAATCGACAGATCTAGCGATACTGTCTTACTATTTTTCGCCCGTTTTCTTGCTTTTTACTTACATCTAACGGTACAATTTGACCAAATGACTCTGGTGTTGTTTGCCTTGTTCATTCCCACTGATAGAATACGTCCGTCTGATTCCCATGAAACAACGTGCATACGACAGCCAGAATATTTAGAATTCATCTTTTTTGTTTGTCTTAAAAATGTTTCTCACTTTTTCGCGTTCTATCAACGAAAGGGGTTTGAGAAAAATCCACTCATCAAAATACATCATGATAGTAGACGGTCCCTGATCACTTTTAGACTATAACCCCAGTTTCAGATAAGTGGTGCCCTATATCAGTATTCCAGCGTTTTACTGAGTTGCTTGCAGATTAATAGTTCTGATCAGACTATTTCTAACAGTAGAGCTCAGAGAACTCCTATTAAAACGTAAGCAGTATTGAATAGTTTGTATTGGAAACAAGCTGCTATACAAATTTCACTAAGTCATTACATATTGAGTCATAAGCTAAGTTACCATATCTTCAGCTCTATGCAAGACTGACTGTTCACGGAGAACGGTTATTCCAGAAGTATCAGTTAGTATTGTCATTATTGTGTTCATTCCCAAAGCAGAATACCTACAACGATACCAAGACTGCTCCTAATAAAGAGTGTATCTTTTGAAGCGGAGCAGTATTTGACTCAGTGTAAACATCATGTTTATTGATGAGTAACCTTCTACTATTTCTATTAATTTCAGAAAACTCTGATGTCTTGTAGCTACAATTTTCAAGTTATTGACAGCGTTGTTAAGTTGAAACAATCACTGTGCTTGCAAGGTACTTGGGGCAATACAAAGCTAGCACTAACGGTAAGGTTTAAAATCAGTTTTTTAAATACTGTAAACTTCTCTGATTGGTATAAAAGCTGATCAGATATCCTCATTTTACTTGTAACTTTTTGACAAAGTCTCGTTAGTCAAGTCAAACTTTTGTCGCACTTGAAAACAACTTTGATCCACATAATTCGATAAGCATTCACATTTGATCGCAGATTTTGAATTCAGATGAAATATTTAATAACACTGTTTTGCACAGGAGACCTCTATTTAAGTTTCGCGTTCGTTAGAACTCATTAAAATGTTACATTCTCGCCGTCATCAAGATTTGAGTTCTTGTTCATGCGGTTGTTAGGCGACTATGGTAACCAGCGGACTCCTCACCTCATACTTAGCAAAACAGAAGTTGGATAGTTTCTAAAACCTCACTTACATGTGAGGCCTAACAGTCGAAGTGAAAACCCAATGGAATAGTTCTTATAACGTTAATAGGGATATAGCAAACCCAAGGCCTAAAGTTAAAGCTCCCTGTGAACGCCGTGATAACATCTCCGACGCCAGATTGTCGCCATGGTTACCAGACCGTTTGGAAGTGAAGCACTATATGAACATGAGCTACTAATGTGCAATGATGCTGTAGCTATCTAGAAGGTTCTTGTTTCTTTATCCTATCACTGTTCCTCACATTTCCTGATATTTTTAACCATATACCTCGATCTAATCCGTTAAACTATAGCTTTCTTTGTTTGGATCTTTGAAGCCAATAGAAGGGCTGATAACGGTCAAAGAGGGTGGTTTGTCACGTTCATTTCACGAAGTCCTTGGCATACAGAGTCGGAATGTGTTGTTCCTAGAGATCCAGAAATGTCTGCTCGTGGTATATTTTTTGGGGTGTTTGCGGTTGGCAAATTCCTTCCTTATGGTATATTTCCTCAAAAAATCTGTATGTAGTACGTGGGCAGCATGAAACAGCTGCCGCCTGGGCCTATACAGACAATCAGCGTTATTGCATATTGACTGCTGAGGCATATCTTCCTATTGGAGCACACATTTGAAGTACACATTTGTAATTCACAACGTTTTCATCCTGTGCACCTTTACAGAGGTAATTTTCAGTTCAAATGCCCTGTTTGGCGATATGTATAACCTGTTAAAAGCTATGGAGTCCAACAGACACTGTTATGACTTACTTTCATCACCCACTAGGATAAATAGATTGCTTGGGAGTGATGTTCATTTGAAAATCAGGTGATTGGAGATTAACTTGCAGAGGTAATTATGCAAATTGTCAACAGGACACAATTGTTCATTTAAATCATCTAGATAAAATTAATGAGATAGACGACAGCCCCGCGAAATCTGACTATCAGGGTCACATTCAGCTTATCCCATGACCTCCAATTTGGTTTGATGAAGCTTATTACCTAACACTGAAATCCACCCAACGCACTTTGGTCGACTCCGTTCATGCAGTCATTTTATAAACGTGACCAGATAAGAGAATATAAACTGCAAATCAATTTAACTGGTTCATTATACGGAGTAATCTGAAAGTAGGACTTGATGGATAATTGGTAAACCACCAACAATCTTAATTCAACTGTCTGAACAGAGATCACCACAGAACTAGCTGAGTGTCACTACCCAACCTCTTCAATTGGCATCCATCAAGTGTTTATTTCCTGTTAAACTATTTGCCTATTTCATTTTGAACTAAATCCTCAATAGCTGAGGAGTGCTACCGGAAGTTTTTCATTAATTACGATGAACGTTTGTGGAGATCTTTTGATGCATTTGACCCAGTAGGATGCAAACAATGAAAACTCTCTAACTTGTCATTAGCGGGAGAAAATTCAAAATTAAACGACCAGAGTTCGTCTGAGTTCATGCAGTCCCATAACGTTCACAGTATTCAAATATCACACCTTTGCTTAAAGGAAGCTCAACCAAGCACCACAACCTCAAGTCAGCTTGCTTGATAAAAGACTTAGAATTGTTTGCGTACACTAATTGAAAAAAAATATTAGTGTCCCTGCCAGTCTCAATGCAGAGATTTCAGTCCATGTGTTTCGAACTTGTGATAATTAAGCATTGAGTAATGATCTACCACCTATCTGGCTAACCAATCTCATTCAGTTTACTGCCCTAACAGATAGCACTTATACCCACGAATTTCTGTTGCGTCCCATCTGTCCTTCACACTCATATCTTTTGTTCAACACAAAAGTCATTTTTTAAGAAAAACGTTGTACTCAACTATGAACCTACTGTGTGAATAAATGTATTATACGTTATATGCTTGTCTACTAGTCCGCTTTGTTGAACGCCTTGTACGGATTGTTACGCTGATCAGAATATCATTATGTCTCCTGATGTCAACAAGCTTATTCGAAAGTTGTTCTATTCTACCACGTGTATTCATTAGGATGATGATGTCTTAACGCCTATCGTCACATCTTATAAACAGTATGTCATTACCTCAACTATTATCACTAACGTATCCAGGTTTTAAACGGTCATACATTTACAGAATACTCATCAAAAAAACACAACGTAGTAGACAAGCTCATTTTTAGTTGTTTGCCAGCAGATCAGATATATGTGGAATACTGTTGTGAGGCGAAAGGAATAAAACGAATGACCGCTACAAATAGAATCAACGGTGTCGTAAGTGAAAGTGAGTGAAACTCATTGTTAACGTTACTTTACAACTATGACGCAAATGGAACTGCAGAAGTTTGACTATACATGATGTGGGTGCTGACAGAGGCAATCACAACGTTTGTATTTTAGATATCTATGTTTTGTCGTAAGTCTTATTACGAACGACGTATCAATCTTCTTCCTATCGG